CTTGATGGGGAAGTGCCGTCGGCCCCGCACAGCCTTCACCAGCCAGCAGCTCCTGGAGCTGGAGAACCAGTTCAAGCTCAACAAGTACCTGTCCAGACCCAAGCGCTTTGAGGTGGCCACGTCACTGATGCTCACCGAGACGCAGGTACCTTGGTCTTGGGGGGGATGGAGGATGGTACCAGCCGGCTGCCAAGGAGGTGGGGGGCTGCGCTGCAGGGTGGGAAGTCAAGGTCGTGGGCAATGCTGATGGCCCTTGCTTGGCTACCACACCCCACTGCCCCCATCGGCACCCCTTCCCAGGGCATCTCCTGCAGAGACCTGCCTGATGGGCTCCAGGCTTTTCTCTTGTGAAGGGGTCCCCAGAGATACTGCTCCTCTTTTTACCCACCACCCCCAGCTGAGATTTCAGAGCCTTCCCACACTGTGAGAGGGGGCTTTTTGTGGGGCTAAAACTCCTCTTTTAATGTCCCCGTGCATGTCCTTGGTCATCCTTGGGGATTGCTGGTCCCCTCTGTCCCTGACTCCCCCCCTGCGGAGGCTGGGCAGGGGGAAGGGAGCAGTCCCCTGGGTACTCCTCTCCCTGTGACATCCTCAGCCTCCTCGCAGACCCATAGCACCACAGGATGCCCCGAAATAAAGAGGCTCTGGGGGGCCTTCCATGCAGAGAAGGCGAGGTGGTGAGTGGGGACAGGGTGGGGCAGGGGGACACATTCTCCCCTGGGGGCTCTCCCTTGGCAGGTGAAGATCTGGTTCCAGAACCGCCGCATGAAGTGGAAGCGGAGCCGCAAAGCCAAGGAGCAGGGGGCTCAGGCAGAGGCTGAGAAGCAACGAGGGCTCAGCCAAGCCTGTGAGAAGCTGCTGCCCGGTGAGCCCCGGGGACAAGCTGCCAAAAGCCCCGAGTTCATGGAGTGCAGCCCCGGCTCGGGCTTCCTGCACCGCAGCACCGCTGAGCTGGGCTATGGCCCGGACTCCTCCTGCTCAGGGGGCGAGGAGGAAGAAGAAGAGGAGGAGGATGAGATGGGTACCACGGAGAGGAAGATTGGCTCTGTGTTGTGAAAGGCGGACAGATCCGGCCCAGGAGAGGGGCCGGGCTGCGGTGTCGGGGGTCTTTTTGCTGGAAGACACAGACTGTGCCCGGGCGGGGTGGTGGGGGCTGCAGGGCACCTGCACCCTCCTTTAACTTATGTGTGTTTGGATCCTATTTAACTCGTAATTATTCCTCTGTGTGTATCTGGGGGAGTCCCCACATCCCTCCCCTATAAAGCTGTTATATGGATACCCGTGCTCTTCCTTAGGGGATGGGTGGCTCTGCACTCCTCCTGCCACCGCGCTGCCCTGCTGGGGTCCCTGGGGAGCTGGGTGGGGACAGCAGACTCGCACAGCTGGCAGCCTGCCAGCACAGCTGGAGGGGAGAGACCCCGGACCTTCCTTCAACTGTGCACTGCCCCTTCCCTGCAGATATGACAGTGCCTGGAACGGCGCATCCCTGCATGATGCTGGCTGCCCTTCCCCTTGGCGGCATGAAGGGCTGGGAAGGAGGATGCCCAGGATGCGTGCCTGCCTGCCTGCCTGCCCTGCCTCCATCCTGCATCCCTCGTGGGGTCCGTGCTTTGCCAGGCAAAGTTAAGCTGCCCTGCAAAGCAGAGCTGATTAATTGGCTGATGCAGCAGTGCTGTTTTCCATGTTGCAATCAGCCTCAATACTGTGGTGAGCCCCTCTTTTCCCATGGCAGTATCTAAACCCCACTCAGCCCCTTTCTGGGCTCATTCCATGATCCTCTTGGGGCCCTGCTCACTCTGGCTGGGCTCAAATCAAGCCCTGCTAGCAGGATGACAACAAACACCCTCTGCCACCTCCCTAGAAGCACTAGGGTTAAGCCCTGACCCCACTAAGCGAGCATGCTGCCCTTATCCTCAAGGTGCTGGAGGGTCCTGGCAGACCTTATAGACCTCCCATACCTCCTGCACACTTTCTGGGCCTCCTCCTGGGGATGCTGAGATTGCTGTGCAGGCAGAGGGACCAGCCCTGCAATGCCCAGCTTCTCCACCCCGCCTCAGCCCGGGGGGGGGCAGCCCTGCTTCACCACCCCAGTGCATGTAGGGCTGCAGGAGCAGGGCAGGCTGGGCTGGGATGACCCATCCCCAGGCAGCTCGTGGTGTCTCCCTCCTGCCCCACGTCCTGCTGTCCCCTCCTCTCTTCTCCTTGTCCCTGCCTGAGGGTGGCAGGGAGGGCTGCCTGCCCCCAGGACCTGCTGTGGGAGTGGGAGTTGCCAAGGGGCAGCAGCCCCCGCGGAGCCCCGGGGCCCCTCCAGCAGCCGGTCAGCGAGGGTTGGGACAGGTAAGCATTGGTGCGGGGCTGTCACACCTCGCAGGGGCGGGCAACACGGGGC